TGGAGGCTGGCCCAGCCAGTGGTTAGGGTAGCTGGAATATATAGGTTAAGGAATATAACAGGTTAAGGTGGCTGGTTAAGGTGGCTGGGGTAAATGGCTGATGATACAGTTTGAGTCCTGGACTAGTGGCTTGGAAAACACATTGGGCATGTGTGTGTGTGCCTGAAATACCAAAAGGAGGAAGAAATGGGGGAGAAGGGATTGTGCATAACCACCTCCCATGGGGAGTGCTTTCTTACTCCTCCTTCCCGTCTCTCTTTTGCAAGCACATGTGCCCTCTGGAAAATGAAAAAAAAAAAAAAGAAGAAAAGAAAAGAAATTTAAAAAGGAAAACGAAAAAAAATTGGATGCTAAGGCCAATTGTTTCTCTCAATTCTAAGTTTGTGTTAATCAAAACTACTTCAGTTATTCACTTCAATTAATTACTAATTCATTATTTGTTAAATAAACATATATATGTGCATATATATGTTTATTTATATATATATAAACATATACACATATATAAACAGTATTTATTTAAGCTAATTGCCATTTTAGTAACTAAATACTACTTTATATGTTTATATACTGTTTGATATACAATTTTGTTTGAGAAAAGGCTGTTATGAGTGATATATCATCTAAAAAAATGCCCGAATCTAAAAGAAAATTTCAAGGCATATAAAAGAAAAAAGGTTGACATATTGTTTTAAAAATCACTGGATTGTGGATAATATATTGCTTAAGGTCAAGCAGAGAAACACATCTAGTTAACAGTCTCTTTAAGACTTTTAAAAAAATTTAAATAAACTAGCAACTCTCTTCTCCTCAGTGACTTACTCTCTGGAGACAGATAAGCAAATCTTCCCAGTCCCACCACCCCTGGGAGCCCCAGATGTCGCCAGCCTACCTGGTGGGATGATGGGCTTGCACCCAGTCGCTGAGAGCAAGGGACACTTCACAGCAGCACACTCGGTGGCAGAATTGTACTCTGAGAGGACCCCGACAGCCTGGCAGGGCCCATGGTAATCGACTGCCACCCGATCTGAGTAGGCAGCACACACGCTACTATAGGTCTCGCCGTTGTGCCCGCAGATGGGCTCTGAGGCCCTGCAGAAGGGCTGAGGGCAAACAAGTCACATTTAGCCTAGAAAACTAGGAAACCCCAAGCCCAGACTCCTAAGAGTATCCCAGAGATGTCTGAAGAAAATTAGATCAATCTTCATGCAAATGCAGAGGCCTTATCATTTCATGCTGGGTAAGAAAAAGGAGAGGGAAGGACGGAGAGATCAGAGGGACAGACTCTGGGCCCTCGGGAAGGAAGGAATACATCAGAGAAAAGTCATAGCTAGGACGAGGGAATGAGCAGGCAGAGAGACTGGGCGGGTGTTCGCAGATGAGCAGGCAGAGAGACTGGGCGAGTGTTCGCAGATGAGCTCAATGTAGTCGACAGAAGCTAGGAGAGAAAACAAGCCCAGGGAGACGAGCCCAAGACTATTTTTTCCCCCTAACCATGATACTCAGGGAATGAGAAGCAACTGCATCAGGTGTTAGCTGGCTGTGAACATGTGAACAGGGGATTCCAGGCCCAGGGGTGGGAATTCCCAGGGAGAAGGGCCAGCATACAATCAGTGGTGCGTTTGGAAAGCCCCGAAGGGCTTGTCCTTGGGGTCATTATTATTATTTTTTAACATGAATGCAGATTCCACAACTGCAAGTGACTGATAGATAAGCTACATGAAAACACATCAAGTTTTAGAGAGATTTTCAAACACTTGTCAGAACCGTGGGAGGTGGGGCTGTGTAGAAAGAGTGGAAAACTCTTCTTTTGATGGTCTTAACTCACATTCTTCCTGATTTGTTTTCTAGTGAGTGTCCAAGATCTATGGGGAGTGAAAACGGTGTTGATTACCAAAATTCTTCCTAAGACTGGACTGCAAGAAGTCACCTGTTCTCGGCTGTACACTAGATGTGCGAAGGTACACAGGCTAGCAAGACAGCCCTCCAGCATTAGGAGAAAGAGCCAGCCTTCATTTTCAGCAAAGGAGTGGGTTCTCTAGTTTGAGAGGATTCCTGAAAGATCCCCCTAGTGGTCTTACTGATGATTCGCCTGTACAGGATCATACACCAATTTTATGCCTAGCTAAACAGCTGTACCTGGCATGGGCCTTTGTAAGAGAGGCTTTTTCCTCTTTGGTATAAAGTGCAGAGATTGCCGTGCTCCACGTGGTCTGTGTCACAAACAGGATCGCGGGCCTGGTCACAGGCAAGCTGTCTTGGCACACATTCATATTGGCTGCATCCAAATTTATCAAAAGTCGTCAGGCAGACTTGAGGCCTGGGTATGCATCTGGAAAAGGTGACAGCAGAGTCATGAGCCAATGTAGGGAGGGATGTGAGGGCTGGTAGAGTACTGGATGAGGCAGGGAGGCTGAAGAGAAAGCAAAAGACCAATCAAAACAGGCCTGTCATAGGACCCTCAGAGAGCCGGAGAGTCAAACTTGTGTACGAAGCAGGCTAGCAGGAAAGGACAGCCAAGGTGTCCATGGGGATGAGGCACTCTCACTGGGGAGTCTGGAGGGAGCATCGGGAGGAGGTGTCTGGCTGAACCTGGAGGGCACGGTGGGTTACCAGGGCATGCCAGGCTGAGGGAGAGCCACAAACACAGGACGCTCGAGGAATGTGGTGCTGAGGAGTGGTGGGAGAGCCTGAAGGCAGGCAACAAGGATGAGAGGTGCCATGAGGTGAAACCAACAAGTGGCTGAGTCTCACGCTGGAGTCAACAGCAAATGACACACTTTCAGGTGCTTAATTTTTATCTTGAAGAGTCTATCTTTAAAAAAGGCTTCACTTTAGGTCCTAAAAAATCAGTTTTCTATGCCTACAAGACAGAGGAGCTAATGCTGGCTGCGAATCACCTAGAGAATGCCACCAGGATTCACACCACATGGTTGGTCCCATGCAGGATCGGCTCCCTTAACAACTAGGTCACAGGGCCAGCCTGATCCCAAATGTTTTGAGTGTGCATATACCACAAGCAGAAAATTCCACATCTGACCTCATGTGTTGTGTCGTAGATAAAACACAACACATGGGACCAGCAGATGGCCTAATGGTTACGTCACTCAACTCCCATGTAGTCACTCACAGTTTAAATCCTGGACCTGGTGGTTTAAAACTCACACCGGGCACGTGTGTGTGCGTACCCAAAATCCCAAGAGGAGAAAGGAGGAGAAGGGATTGAGGCCATCCCCCCTGGGGAGGGGACTTCTCCCTTTTCATCTCTCTGTCTCTTTCTGTCTCTCTGGTGAGTACATGCACCTTATAACAAAAATGTCTCTTAAAAAAAAAAGAGACCAGAAGATGATATAATGGTTACATCTCTGGACTCTCATGGAGTGGACTGTGGTTTGAGTCCTGGACCTGGTGGCTTTTTAAAGCTCACACACTGGGTGTATGTGCATGCATGCCCAAAATCCCAAGAGGAGAATGGAGAAGAGATTGTGGTGTGGCCACCCCCCTGGGGGGTGATCTCTTGCTTTCTGGCTCTCTTTCTCTCTGTCTCTTCGGTGAGCACACATACCCTATAGCAAAAATCTCTCAAAAAACAAAAACTACAATACAAAAATGTTGCATAAAATTACCTTCAGACTGTGTGTACAAGGTGTATATGAAATCTCATGAATTTTATTTAGACTAGGTCCTATCCCCAAAAGAGCACAGTATGTATATGCAAATATTCCAAAATCTTAAAAATCCAAAATCCAGACTCCTCCTGTTCACAAGCATTTTGGATAAGGAATACTCAGCCTGTAATATTTGGGCTTTGCTTCATTCTAAGTCTCTGAACCCTTTCAGAGGGATTAGGGATGATAGTTCTTTTCTTCTTTAGACTTTTCTGCATTCCTAATTTTTATAAAAGGTGCACATAACTTTCTATAAGAAGGTAAGACCTATAAAAATGCCTGGCTTTTACTGGGTATTTGAAGATAGGTCTTAGGTATTTGAACATTAGTCTGTAAAATAAGTGGGGAAGCATTATTTTAATTTTGAAGGGAATTACTTAAATTCTTTTTTTTCTTTCTGTTTTTGGAGAGGTTTTTGCTATAGGGCACATGCGCTCACCACAAAGACTGAGACAGAGAGACAGAAAGCGAGAAATTACCCCCCAGGGGGGATGGCCACGCTGCAATCCCTTCTCCTCCATTCTCTTCTCGGGATCTCGGACACGCATGCACACAGGCCTGGCATGAGTTTAAGTCGCTGGGTCCAGGACTTGAACCGTGGTCGACTACATGGGAGTCCAGTGACATAGCCATTACACTAACTACTGGTTCCCTTAAATTCTTTTTTCTTTTGGAGAGGTTTTCGCTATAGGGCACATGCGCTCGCCAGACAGACAGAGAGAGATATAGAGACAGAAAGCGAGAAATCACCCCCCAGGGGGGATGGTCATGCCGCAATCCCTTCTCTTCCATTCTCCTCTCGGGATCTTGGGCATGTACGCACACACACCCGGCATGAGTTTTAAGCCATCGGGTCCGGGACGCGAACCGCGGTCAACTATGTGGGAGTCCAGCGACATAGCTGGACTAGGCTAACTGCTGGTTCCCTCCCTTAAATTCTTTTAAGAATAAGCATCCTGCACTGAAAATATCACCGTCACCAGTAACATGTGCAGTGGCCTTTTCTGAGTGATTTGAAATTAGAATGCACTTAGTTATGGTTTTATGGAAATTTAAGATGTTTGAAGAGAAGTGATGGAAAAGAATATTTAGAACTTCATTATCCATTAAATAGGAAGAGATAAGAAGAACCTGGACTATCAGGAGAAATTTGGTCATTGTTTTTGTTTATTCACAATAGAGTATGTGCGTGCATGTGAGAATGAGAGAGAGAGAGAGAGAGAGAGAGAGAGAGAGAGAAAGAGAGAAATGAGGATCCCCTGCAGAATCTGGCCATGCTGTGACCCCTTCTCATCCTCTAGTCCACTGTATGTAAAATATATCTGGAGATATTTTATGTAAGTATATGCATTTATATATGCCGATCCAAAGGAACGTGCATTTAAAATTGTAGATTTGGCCAAACTGCCCTCCATGGAGGATGTACCCATTTCCCCCCCAAACCCCACTTTGTATAGCAGTACCCGCCTCCCTATATTGTGATCAAACTTTTGCCTGTGCTGATCTGATGGATGGAAAATAGCACATGACTGTGGCTTTAATTTAACTTCCACTTTTCTTAACGTGAGGAAGGTTAAGCGTTATGGCAGGTTGGTAGGGTGTTCATCAAATTCATGTGATTTTCTTTCCGGATGCACATCTAGAGGATTTTTCCCAGTTGCCCTGGCAATGAGATGTGGCCAAGTGACAGTTCTAGACCGTGGAATGAGGCTGGAAATCGTGATGGATGTCACTTGTAGACCTGGCCCATAAATTCTTCTGAAGAGCAACCTATGCTATCTCCCTTCATCTGTCTGCTGGTCAGATACAGAAGACACAGAGAGGATTGTGAGGCCGTGGGTGACAGCAGGGGTCACTGCACTAAGTTTCTGCATGACCCCGTGGAAAGTCACGCGAAAAAAAAACAACACAACATCACGATTGAACACTCAGATGGACTTTCATCTTCTGCTAGATGAAAGTGCCGAGATTTTGGGTTTTGTGTAACAGTAGCTAGAGTTACTTACTCTATTTCTTTTTCTGTATTTATATCCTTGGTCCATTTTTCTATTAGATTACTGATCTTTGCTAGTTTTTATATTAGGTTGTTGATCTTTTCCATACTGATTTGTAGGGGCTCTTTATATTATAAGAACATCAGCCCTTCCTCTGGAAAAGTATTTTTAGTTTGCCATTTTTCTGTTACCATTAAGAAAATTTAGATATTCACATAGCTGAATTTTTCAAACTGTTTTTTTCTTTGCGTGTGTATGTGCTATACGGTATATATGCTTATCAAAGAGAGACAGAGACAGAGAGAGAGGGAAAGTGAGAAAGCACCCCACCCAAGAGGGCGGATGGCCATGCTGCAATCCCATCTTCTCCATTCTCCTATGAGGACTTTGGGCACACATGCATACGTGCCTGGTGTGTTTTTCAAGCTGCTGGGTTGGGGACTCAAACCGTGCAGTAGTCATGTGGGATTCATCCATTTTAACCTCTATACCAGCTGCTGACCCATAATCTTTTCTTTCATATTGGTTTGTATTATACCCAGAAAGACCTTCCCACTTGGAGATTTATTATTTTTTAAAGGAATTATTTATTTATTTTAATTTGACCAGAGAGAGGAAAAGTGAGAAAGCAAGCAGCTAGGTCTGGGAGTTGGACTATGGTCGGCCATGTGGGAGTCCAGTACCCTTAACCACCATGCCACCTGCCGGCCCCCTTGAAATTTATTTCAATTGTTTTATTATAAAAGCAAGAAAACCTTTTTTTGGAAAGGTTATCAAATAGAGAAAACAAACACCAAAACCACCCTTGATTTTCTATCTCCCAACACGACCTACATCATCCTTTTGGTCCATTTTTTCTGCGCAGCATCCTGTCTCCTTTCTATAGAAATGTCGTTGGCTTAGTTCTCCTTGGGTAAACCTGGGCTGGTGGGTAGCCAGTTCTTTTAACAAATGAGAAACTCTTCCCCTCTCTCCATATTAAACTAGGGTTTTCAGGGTAGAAAGCAAGTGCTTTTTTCCCACAAAATCCTTCATAAGGAAAGAACTATGGCCCTTTGTGACCCAGGGGTGTATCCTGCCAGGCCTTGAAGGCGGCTGGTGCAAGAGCCCACTCTAGGAGACTGAACGCCAAGAGAGAAGCAAGACGCTGGCCCCGTGGCTCCCATATTCAGAAGTCCATCACTGAGGCCAGGCCAACTGTCCTCTGAGCCCAGTGAGGAAACTGTAGAGAAGTCATAATAACACTAGGGCTGCATTTCCAGAAATTTTTCATGTCAAGTCCTCACATGGAGGCATAAGGAGCTGAAAACGTCCCTTGATGATCAGGCGTAACTAGAATATGCCCACGCCTCTTGTCCCACCCACTCCCTCTCCCCACCTTACCCTGTTTTGGTCTGATGGTACTACACGGCTCCCAGCAGATGCCATGCTACCTCCTCCTTCCCAGTAGCCACCATTTCAGCTCTCGTTTCTCTGACTGCCTGCAGCACCATCACTCTCCCTCCTATGTAGGCCTGGCCTGCAAGCTCCTCTCCTCTCTCCCACCCCGTGGAGTGTCACATCCCCTGGAGGCTTTCCCAGGCTGCACGAACTTCTTTGCTTCCAGGCTTTCCATCACGGCACATTACCAAGTGGCTTCACATGGTTCTCTTAAAACCCTCCAGACTCCAAACTCTTCAGGGCAGAGACCACTTCATTCGCTCTTGTGCTTTCACTGTCTGGTACATAGTAGGAGCTTTGTTAAGATGCTAGCCTTCCGCTGGAAAAAACGAGGAGCCATTTGACTTACCTTTGGTTTTTCTGGCAGGGGTTAGGATTACATGGATCCTTTGAGATGCACGATCCAAACTCAAACTGATGGTCTTGGAGGCCCACACAGCGAGCAATGCAGGCACTGGGGTAAGTGCGTCCATTCTGCCCACACACGGGGACAAACTGATCTGCACAGTTACAGGGCAGACCTGGGGAGAGAAAGAGCCTCAGCAAGGTGCATTTGTGGAGATCCTTGTTGCTCCTATTTCCTTATTAAAGCAAGTTATCCAGAATCATGGTGAGGGCCCATGTTAAAATAGAACTGTAAATTAAGTGAAGAAAACAAACCTCTTCAAATTCTGACAGGGTTTTTAAAGGTAGCAAGGCTCTGTGTAGCCATTTGTCTGCAAGATTGCTTTCCTTAGTTCTACTTATTGCCAGCTAGTTGAAGGCCTCCGGATCTTGGTCCCAGGTAGAGACCCCTATAAACCAGGCTATAGACCGAAAAAGTAAAGACTATTTCTTGGGGCTAGCAAGTGGTGTAGTGGTTAAGGTGCTGGACTCCCACATGGCCAACTGAGATTCAAATCCTGGGCCTGGTGGCTTGAAAATCACGCTGGGCACATGTGTATGTGGGGCTGAGGGGTGGCCATCCCCTCAGGGGGTGATTTCTCCCTCTCCCTCTCTCTGTTTCTCTCCTCTCCATTGAGTGCATGCACCCTATGTCAAAAATCTTATATCTATATCTATATTTCTATCTATATATAGTCTACATAAAATCTAGGATTTAGAAAGCTGCAGTGGCACAGCGGGAGTGCAACATACTCTGCTATCTGAAGCCACATGGAAAGGTCCTTGGTTTGCATTCAGAAGTCTCCCTGTACACGTCAAGTGTACATGAACACATGCCAGCGATCCTGGCTGGCTCAGGCTGGAGATGGACTGCAGCAAGAGGACCCTCTTACAGGGTGACTCTTTCTCTCATCCCCTTTAACTCATGCAGAAGAAATAAATTAATAAATTTTTTTTTGTTGTTATATGATGTGTATACTCACCAAAGAGAGACACAGAGAAAGAAAGAGAGAAAATGAAAAATCACCCTCCTTGGGGGATGGCCATGCCATAGTTCCTTCTCTTCCACTCTTCTCTCGGGATCTTGGGCACACACACACATGCCCAGTGTGATTCTCAAGCCACTGGGTCCAGGATTCAAATTGTAAAACTGGCCAGGTGGGATCCATTGTCCTAACTTCCTTCCATCTGCTGACCCCAAATTAATAATTTTTTTTTTTTTTTTTTTTTTTTGCCATGGGGCAAGTGCACTCACCAGAAAGAGACGGAGACAAAGAAAGGAAAAGTAAGAAATCGCCTTTGGGGGGATGGCCACAACACAGTCTCTTCTCTTTCATTCCTTTTTTTTTTTTTTTTTTAAGA